CAGTCACGGGTATTAAGTTAGTTTTTCGTTAACACCGTTTCAAACGACTTTCGGACAGCTAGTTACAAAAAGACATTAAAAGATTAGATGCTTTGTGATCTATGTAAAAAAAGTTAATGGAACAAATTTTTATATTTTACTGCTAAAATTAAATAATAAAAGTAGATCACTTACGTGATAATGTTGTATGAAAATTGTTTTTTTTTCATAAAAGTCAAAATTTCAGAAATGGTAACATAGTTGGAATTAATTACAAGAAAGGTAATTCAGCACGTGTGCGGGGATTACAGAAATGTCATTTGGTATGATATCCATTACGAATATTTACCGTCTATCCCAAGAATTGAAACTACTCCCAATGATAAATATACTTGAAAAAATAGGTTAATATTTATAGAGAGATTTCATATTTCATCATGACAAATGCTAAATCGAAAAAGGAAAACATCGAAATCTATGAAGGAGACAATGGAAAATTCACCAAATGAATAATAATAAATTTTAAAACCCGATATTTCAAAACTTCAAATTTTTCAAAAATTTTCAATAAATTAAATCAAATTTGCTACCACAAAAAACTTCAATGTTTTTGACAAAACAAAATTAAAAAATAAAATCTGTGTGAAAAAGAGCGAAGGTCTTAATTTAAATTTATTTTCTTATAATTTTGAACTTTTGCCAATTTACGAAATATTTGTATGACTTGAAGAAAATTTAACTTCCTTAATCGAAATTTAATGAAGTACAGTGACTTCAGTAATTGCTGGCTGGCATTGCGTTCCTACATGATTTTAAAGAAAAATAGATATAGAATATATATGTAAATGTTCACAATGGTAGCAGCTGCTATAAATCTAATCCACTGCAATTTATTTTTTGAATTTAATGCAGTAAATATACCCAAACTTTATGCTGAGTTCATTATATATGCAACTAGCGAAGAGAATATATGGAAAACGTGTTTACATTCCATTGCTCCTTTTTTTGAATTTATATATGTGCATTTTATACATATTTAAATAAAAATTTTTTTTGGTATTTTTCTTAAAATAATAATATACATATTTCAGATGTATATAAATATTAAAAATAGTTGAATATATTAAATATATTCACCTTTAAACTATATATTATATACTCTGTAAACATTTCCTTGACTACCTAAGTGTACCACATAATTTATTCATATACTTTATATAACTACATAAGATTTTGATAATTACTAAATCATTGACAATTTTATTAATATAAAGAATTATGTTAATGGAACACTACTATTCACCAACTAGAAATTGCACAAAGCTAGGCTCTGAGAAGACTTTTCAAGGTATAATTGCACATTAGGACGAATGACATCCTCAGGGACCTCAAAATTGATCCGATTAAAAAATACATAAAGGACAGAGCCCTGAAATTATTTACGAAAATTGACAGGCTTACCAACACCGCGTTATCGAATCTCAGAATGGTTACAGGCACCGCGGGGAGGAGTGCAGATTTGAGGTTAATTATTACTTAGTCTGATGATGTGATAAACAATACCTCGCAGTTAAAAGAGAGTAAAAGTGCTCAAGTGCATGAGTCAACTAGCCTCAACATAAAAATAACTATAATAGAACTGAAAATAGAACTATAACAGTGAAACTGCTTACCCGCCTTCGTCTTCGTTTGTTGATTATGGAAGAGTCTTGTTGACTTATCTATTTTTCAATTTTTCTTAATCACAATTATCGAACTTGAGTACAAACAATTTCAAATTAGCTCTAAGATGAAAAGAAAAAATTAACTAGGTAATAGGCTTATTAAATAAATATTCTATTATACGTTTTTGACACGGTTTCATGAAAACCCGACAAAAAAAAAGAAAACATAATAAGTTTCTTTATATAATTTTCCTTATATTCTATAACCAAATATGCTGGTATATATACGCTTTCTGGAGATGACAGTACACAAGAGTTATAATTTTCAATTTTACTATTTATGTGGGGTTTCAAATAGAACTATAAATATATATATCAAAAATAAATTGTATAGTCATTTTTTTTTATTCCATAAAATGCTACCATACTTGATGCCAAGCATATCTGTGTATTCAAGTGGCATAGAAAAAAATTTTTTTTCGTAATATTTTAAACTATGCTGTTAGAATTTTCCATCTATCAAACGCTATTTTCTTGTATTGGACCTCTAAAACGAGTTACATAATTCCATTTTCAACAAAAACGCAAAAATGTATTTAATGTTACTCATACGATCTAGCAAATTTATATTTATATGTATTACTAAATATTGGTGTTAACATAAATAAAAATTACACAGGAAATGATTGTGGATGAACTAGGCTTGAATATTATGGATGCATTTTGAATATTAAGCAATAATCTGGAAGACATGAAGAAACCAGTACGATTGGTTTTTCGAATTATCACCGAAACTCAAATAGAGACACGTAAGCACTATACTCAACATATTTTTTGAAAATTTATAAATGAAGCGTCCAATACATTCAAAAAGGTAAGTACAATCAAGCTAGGCAATAGAATTCAGCAACCAAAGTACTGGTGGCTATTTGCTTCACTAGAGAAACTGTTTAGCTGTTTCTCTTCCTCTGAAGAGTAGAGTCACAATAAATGGTATTCTAAATGGTATTCTGCCGCCAATTTACTACAAGTTTTTGCAAGTTTGTTGGGCAACCAGAAAGAAAAAAGAAAGTATGTTGATACTTTCTATGTTGCAACGATGTGCAAATTGATACTGCTTAAAACAAGGGAACAACTTCATGTTCAAGGATCAAAGAATTTCGCCCGTATCCAACTGATAATCATCAAGGGTTATTTTCAGACCTCATGTTACCTATATGTGAGCACATCGTTAGTTTGCTTCACTCTCAATCAATATTTCTTATATAAAATTTTTATGTGATGAGTCACTAATCATTAAGTTCTTAAATAAAATTAAATGTTAGGATGTGCATCTCTTTTTGGTAGATTAGAAGATACTTTCTATATACTTATACCACGCATTCTAGTGAAATAGATGTGGAGTTATTAAGTTAATAGTCGTGGACTGACGTTATTGATGTAATTGAATTTAAAGTTTCAATAGCTGCCTGGCTATCCAAAAAATAAATATAATCACAGTTATAATAAATCGTTTGTATAAGTATTTGCCATTAATTTGCAAAGAGCTTATTTTTGGACAATTACAATAAATTTCTTAACTTGGAATAGTTTTTATAAGAATTATAAAAAAATATAAAATGGTGTATATCACTGGAAAGTGTAAAGAGTATTTGGACTATATAAAACTTAAATATTATTAAAATAATATGTACTTAGATAAATTCAACCAACAGCAACACAATCGATCTGTAAAAACTTTTATTGATCATAAACTTTCGACGCAAAGACAGACATGCTTGCATATAAATATCAAAATAATGACAATGGAAATGAGAATTATAAATTTGTAGCAACAATAAAGACAACACATATGTAAGTATTTAATACATATTTATTTTTAATAAATTGTAAATTTAGCAGTCGATGTGTCATTTAATTAGGCTATATGTTCACATAATGTAGTCGACCTTTTGATTCATACGTATCTGATGTTTATTGCAGAATCTTACAAGTTTGTCATGAATTTAAAAAAATACCCGTTATGACAATTATTAAATAATAATTCTCTCAACTAAAGCATATATTTCTATAATTCTATATTTCTAAAAGTATATATGATTGAAAATTCTAAATGAAGTTATTTTTTAAGTTAAGAAGGTATTATTCGGATTACTTTTATATCATTATTTTCTTCCTAACTTGAAAACCAATCATTTTATGTGCTTAAAAGCGTTTAAATTTTCTATGTTCCTGGAAAATACAATAAAGAACGTTCGAGCTGTTTAGGCATTCTTAATATATAAGACGCACTTTGAAGTAAACAATAATGTTTAATATTATTAACGAAAAAAAAATTTTGTTGTTGTCAAAAAAAAAAAACACTGATCTGCGCAGTCTAAAAGCATCGGGTCCGCATGTATTTGAAAATCTGTCAAGAGAATGCGGATGCATATAGCTGTTGGAATCATTTAAAAAGAGCACATTACGCAAACACGCTTGATGTTTGGATGCTACATGAAATATCGCAAAGAAATTTGATTGAATAACTGACCATTAGTGAAACACTATTAAGTTGCAAGTCGAACAATTTTTGCAGCGAATCAATACGGGCGATTAAATATGGATTAAATTCGACAAGATTCAATGCAAGCGATCCTTATCAAAAGCTAGTGATCCTCCAAAAATATCTTCAAAACCTAGATTGACGACAAAAAGTGGTATGTTGAGTTTTTTATGTCGCTTTTTTGATGGGAAGGGAATTGACTATTACAAACTGCTTGACGGTTGCTTTAATAAATTTTAATGGTAAAAAATTGGCTGACCGAAGAACTGCTGAAAATCACTTGGACAAGTTTTTTGCCAATAAGTCAGAGAAGTTCTGTATTATTAAGCCGTATTTCATCAGGAACATAGACTATTTACATAAAATTGCCAGTTTAATGCTAAATACCTTAATTAATTAAATGATGATTTGGTTTCATGCCGGATGGTTCTTTTCCAAGTGGTTCGAGGCCTGCCGGATAGAGAATTTCTACGCCCATGGAATCATTAAGGTTCCGTGAATATAGCAAAAGGTCATTAATAATAATGGCCAATATAAACTTTATCAATATTAATTTTCAATAAGGAAAATTTTTGTTAAAAAATGTATCAAAAATTGGCATATACTTTTTAATATAATCCAATATTATGCATTTATTATTTATCATCAGTTTGGTAATTACATATATGGTTCATTTTCAAAGCATTTTACTCGTTTTTGGTAAAATGTCAAAATCAATTTTTGTTCTTGAAATTAATTAAAAATTTTAACATATAATTCATATACAATGTTTATTAAATCAAAATAAATTTATATAAAATCAATTAAATTACCTGTTTGCTTTCGGTACTTCAACACTAAGAATCAACCAAAGATTATAGATCAGCATCAACAGCAAACTGTAATTAAAATAAAAAAACATTTATTAAAATTAATCACTCATGTTTCACACCTCGAATTCACAACGTCAAAACATCAAAGTAAAATGTCAAAATTTATTTTTAAAATAATGAAACTGCAGATACAAGACAAGCTCGTTAAAATATGACATTTGCATTCACATGCCATGTTGAACTGACATAAAACAACAAAATTGTTTAAATAAATCATTTTGCAGAAAATGTTAATGACATTTTGTTGAAGCGTTAAAATATACAAGTTTACAGCAAAAAACTCTTATACATCAAAAAGTAAAATCCCCGGTCAAAAAGTTGATAAACAACACATGATCAAAATATTATGATTTCGACTACACACAGAAAGCTGACATTAATATGAATTGGCTACAAAATGTTTTTCAAATGCACGCAATAAATCTTTCGAAGTGATTTTTATGCCTTCATTTCTTGTGTGGAATTTGTTGACCCACACGCAATAGAGCAACAAAAAACCAAGCTGAACAACACACAAACACCCCCCGATTATTGGCCATATTGCGCTAGCCAAAATATCTTTCGGCTAGAACGAGGGCTCTCCCGCAAACATACGGGTACGTGCATGCAATGTAAGCGTAAAATGTAATGACAACATAAAATTTAATTGTTCTTCTAAAGTTGCCAAAACAATAATATATTTAATCATTTTTCAAGTGTTATGTGAAAAAAAATTATAGATACTTTGAATGTTTCTGAGGTAAACTTTAGAATGTTTGACAATAAATATTTATTTTATATTTAAATTGTGATAATGAAAATTTCAATGTTCTGCAAAATATTTAAAACATTTATTTTAAGCGTTCTTTTCCTACATATCTATTTTAAGAACAGGTGTATTGCATTATTTCGAGACAATATTTTGATGTTATTCGAGGCAAAAGTCACAAAAATTTCATTTTTCAATTTTTCTTCCGCAAACAAATCAAAACCAAAACTTCCATTGTACCTGGAGAGGCATACAACTGTTTGTTATATGCTGCTAATGGGACACAATGAATTCAAAATTCAGCTTCACCAAACTCTTTAAAACTAAACTAAGCCACAAAAGGAGCTGGGAAGATATCAAACAAACCTACCACCTAATGGGCGTGGTTCACTGTCGGTTCTCTCACGAAAGAAAGTGCCAGAACGGACATAGTCCGACCGGACAAGAAGCATTGAAAAACACTAGGCAAAAATACAAGCATCTTCCACGCGGAAATTCACGCGATATTTATGTGCGTACTTTTCAATATTTAACGGAAATATCAGGGAAAAACTAATGCAATACTGACACACAGCGGTTATCAAAACACTAAACTTTGGTGCAAAAATGTCTTGAAAATGTAAACCTGTTGGACAAATTAAATCAGGTGTTGATTCTCTGAATACTGAAACATACCAGCGTACGCGGAAATCGATACAGACTAATTAAACTAGCCAAGAAAAAGAGCAGCCACATCGCTGAGAACTTCTCTGTGAACTTAGACACATTAAGGAGAAGGAGAACCAGAACAAAAAGGAATACTGACATAATCTACCAGGATTAGCATAATCCAAATAACTTATTGGTACTTATGACAATAGGAGATACCACGATTGTAAGGACTTACCACAGAAATCTTAACAGGACACTATACATTAAAATCAGCTTACGAGACTGGGTATATACACGGATGCAAACTGTAGTTTCTGCGATGCTTAGGCATACATGCGAGTATAAGTGTGCACATTATAATATGACAATATATGTACTATATATATTATGAAATATAAGAATATATGAGTAGTTAGTGGATAAGAAAAACTTTCTTTAAATACTTATTGTATAAAAAAAGTGCAAATTTCATATCGTTTCATTAACTCAAATTTTGATCCATATCTTAAATACCTTTCCTTCAAGCCTAAAAAGAAGCAAAAATATGGTCTTTATATTTAACCACTCTTAAATTGGACTATCGTTATTTTCGCAAGAGATGTGTCTACCAAAACCAAAATTTAAACCCGATTTCTTGCGTTACACTCATAATGTTCCTTTATTGTCATTCATCTAAATCCAAATGCTTGCAACTATTGCATTGTCGTATTTGCAATACAAAATTTGTATAATTTTTATTATTCGAAAATTATATTGTCTAAGGTGAAATATATCCTTTACTCCTCTTAAAGTACGCCACTGTCAGGAATTCTAATTTTATTTATACACATCAAATTATACATACATATAAAAGTAAATAATTACTTTAAAAACTATTGTTTGTGATTCCTTATTTAATTTAATTATTTAATACATTTGGTTATATTAATCTTTCGTCGAGGACTAAAACATAGAATAGCGTTTGATATATTATTGAGACCACTCATGTTGAATCTGTCCTAACATGTAACGCTTTTTTTTACAAAAGTAAGAAGCAGATTCAACTATTTGACATTCAACTAAACGAAAAAATTGCCTTCACGGTACTAAATTCTTCCCTTACTTACCATTACCATTTTTCGATGTCATGGAAAAATACATTTAACAGCATACAAAGTACGTATAAACGCTCAATAAAAGAATACGTATGGGTAGCTAATTACGAGATTGAATAAGCATACGAATATGTTTAAAAGAGCAGATAAAGTTTTTGTAACACCTGTATTACTTAAATCTGAATACGTTTAAATGAACTTAGCCCACAAAATTCATTTAAAGCTGATTAAAGCTCATTATACAGTCATTTAAGCATGAGTTTAAGCTTGAGTTTAATATCTTATTTAGATTTGATACGTCATTTAAATGCAATTGCACACAACTAATATGGATTTAATGGCTTAAGAATACCAAAATGAGTGACAAAAAGTACATAAAAAATATATACATAAAATAAATAAAAACAAGAAAAAAAAAATATAAATGCAATATTTTTCCACTTCTTAATTAATTTTATTTATTTATTTTCTTTCATTTTCGTTTTCTTGCCAGTGGGTGCTTGGGTCTTGCCTTGAGCACAAATGATTGCATTTGGGTGTCCTTTTCGGATAACTCATACTCACTGCCTACCACAAAAAGAGCTTAATGTGTTTTTGTGTCATTATGTGGCAGCACCAACCAGTACTTCAGCCATAAATATATCTTTTTACATATACACAGATACTTTTGTTGACAATAAACATACGGTAGTCCAATAGTCTTTGAGTGGCATTTTTGGGTTGGACTTTGTCATTATTGGTTGGGTGGACGAAAAAAAAAAAATTGGTTGAAAAATTTATTACTACTGCAAAATATTGCACTAAAAATGCATTTATAATACTGCAGTGAAGAATAAATTTTTAATAATGCAAAACGTATTATACAACTTTAAAATACTTCTAAAAAAGTGAATTCTTTTAAGCGATTATTTAAAATTTATATAAATTTTTTGAATATTAACAAATACGTAAAAGTTTTTGGTTTCTGTATTCCTGTTCACTATTCATTTATAGATCTTTAACAAACACATTTTTAAAGATATGTTGTATACAACGTTTGTTTTTATAAAATATTTTTGAGATCTTTGTCAAACTATCTAACTCTGATGCTTAAATTTTGACACTGTAAGTATAAGCAGAGGCGAAGCGTCGAATGGTTCAGAGTGTTCACTGAACATCTTAACAAAGCTTCCATTTTAGATTTTTCTTTTATTAGGTAAATAATCTCGCTATTTTGCTACTTAACATTTTTTATAATAGCTTTTCCAAACATATTAACATAAACATAAAACGTATAATACAAACAAAACCACACATACATATGTTAGTTACACCCAATATTACTTCTAATTAATAAAAAAGAAAACACATTCCTATTAAAATATACTAAGGTTCAGAATAAAAACTGCACCGCGCTGCTTACAAAGCATGCAAATGAAATAACATTTACAGTGGGACTATGTTCAATATTGTATACACAACACAAAACATACAAACAAATATAAAAATAAAAGAGAAAACAAGCCCCGCATAATATGTACGTAAAATAATCATAACTCTTAAATTACTGCGTGCAAGCGGTTCAATAAAAAAGTGAACCTCCAATGTTATGCAAGTAAATACAAAAGAGAAAAGAAATAATTGAGCGAAAATCGTTTTACATTTGACTAGAGGTTCAGTCGACTAAACTGAACCATAAGTTCATACAAAGCGTGCAAATACAATCAAAGCCACGGTTGCCGTTTTATATGGGCAAATGGTTCAGTAAAAAAACTGAACCGCGCATAGTAAATACAAAGTAAAAGAGTAAATGAATGCATGAGAGTTTCTTGCTCTTATGTAGAGGTTGGAAATAAATCAAAAACAAAGTCATTATTGCAATTTTATACTAGCAAATGGTAAAAGTAAAGAAAAAAATTAAAGAAATTTGAAGTGAAAAATAATATTTAGAAATGAATTAATGTTTTTTGAATTAACGATTTTCGGAAAAAGTGATTTTGATTCATAAAATGAATAAAAATGTCATCTGTGCTAAGTCGCCATTTTCCTACAGCTACAGCTTTATCGTAAAAATAAAAAGTCCCTTTTTAATTGAAATCAATATCATCTCATATATTCTTAGCAGCACTAACCACACCATCTAACCAGTTGAAGATGATCTGATATTTTATCTTGTAACTAATCTTGGCTTCCGTTTGACGCAAACCGAAATAATCAAAAAATAAAAACCAAATCCCCTCGTATATATTAAAAATGTATACAAAATGAAAAAGAAGACGCAAAAGTCCACTCCTCAAATTCATCAAACTGAACTTTACAGTTTTTGTGGTCATAAATTGGAGCGCAGCTTAGGGTTAAAACCTTTTTCGACAAATGAATCACAACATACATATATTTTAAATCACATTTATAAGATTTTTTTATCGATATCTAGATACAAACATATATACTATACATATGAGTATATAAAGTTTTCCTAAAATGTTTTGTTCAATTTTTTTGTAAATTTTTATTAGTTTCGTGAAACCAATATT